ATGGGAGGTAGGTGGATTGGGGAGAGCTGGATGAGGGGGAGCTGGATAGGAAAACCTGGATGGAGGGAACTGGGTAGGGGGAGCTGGATAGGGAGAGTAGGATGGGGGGGGGAAGATAGGAAGAACTGGATGGGGGGAGCTGGATGGGGAGAGCAGGATGAGGGGGAGCAGGATAGGAAGAACTGGGATGGGGGGAGCAGGATAGGAAGCACTAGATGGGGACAGCTGGATGGGGGGAACTGAAGGGGGAGAGCTGGATGGGGGAAGCTGGATGAGAAGGAGCTGGATGGGGGGAGCTGGATGGGGGGAGCTGGATGGGGGGAGCTGGATGAGGGGAGCTGGATGAGGGGAGCTCTCCTTGGAGAGGAAGCCCGTGGCGGGATGAAGTCAAGTGAGACATTCCCGGGGTCAGCCGGACTGGAGGGATCTCGCAGCACGTGGAGAAACCCTAGAGCCTCGCTGTACAAACGATGAGCTCCTTCCCTCCTGCTTTGTTTTGTTTTGTTTTTTTTTTTTATATAAATCTGAGTTTTATTACCTTTGGTTCCGGGGGAATTCGCCGCGTTCCAGATCTTGTTCTTAATTACGCGGATGAAAGTGGCCCCGCGCACTTGAACTCCTGCTGGACTTTGGCCCCGTGAACCTGCGTGTGTGTTTTGGTTTTGTTGGTGCGGTTTTTGTTGTTTTTTTTAATAAGGATCTGAGTCCCGGGCTTGCCAGGAACGAATTACATCTTATTAACACTTGCTGATATCCGGTCTGGGGGGTTTATTATCTCGTTTAATGGCTGAAATATGCCGGGCATGTGCGGGGAGGTCACTTGGGATGGGGCTTCCAGGGCGAGCGCGGTGAGGGGGCCAAGAATAACCCATCCAAAAGCCATTAGTGGATCAAGTGGTCGGGGCAGCCAAAATATCCTCTCGCAGGGATGGAGGCGAGGCAGGAGTTTTATTTTATTGGCGTCGCTCGGATGCGGCGTCGAACTCGATATTTAATAGGGTGGGAATCTGGTGTGAGCTTGAAGGGGATGATCCAGGGTTTGAACAGGTTGGAGTTTCAGCTGTGCTGGTTTGAAGGTGGTATTTGCTCTTCCTGCCAACAGATGTTGGTGTCTGTGTCACCTCTGAGCAGTGTCACAGTGAGGCTGGTGTGTCTTTTCCCTCGCTGGCAGCAAATATCAACCTGGGGGTGTGAGTGTGACACTTAAAAATCATGGAATGGTTTAGGTTGGGAGGGATTTTAAACATCATCTTGTTCCACCCCCCTGCCATGGGTAGGGACACCTTCCACTTGCCCAGGTTGCTCCAAGCCCCGCCCAACCTCGCCTTGGGCACTTCCAGGGATGGTGAATCCACAGTCTCTCCATGCAACAAAAACTGAGGCAAAACATTGCCCAGTGCTGTTCACAACTGAAGTGCTGCTTGGATTTTGGGAGGAATCCAGTTCTGACCATCAGCTGGAGAAGATGAAGCGCTTCAGAGCGTGGATTAACAGCAGCTCCATAGAAAGACAAGCATGTCTGTGAAATCAGGGATTCAGATCCGAGGTTTGGATGCCATCCCACACTTCACTCTGTCCCTGCAGATCAGAGCTCACTGAGAGCCA